TGAAATTCCACTCCTCAAAGCACAAGGACATTGGCAGCATGCTCAATGACAAAGGAAATATGAGACAAGTACAGAAAGGCACAGCTGACTAAGATGGAAGCTTTAAGTTTGTCTCCACTGATATTCCACAGCCTCTTGTGCAATTCTGACCTGTTTTCGTATAAATTGTGCAGACCCTTCCTTGACAGTTTCCAGGCTCCTGGAGGGGTACTCTGATTTTATGCACGTCACTATCAAGGAAACAAAAACAGGGAGACGTAGAACAGCATACCCTAAATGACAATGAATTTACACTACTGCTGAAAGTTCAAAGAACTCTCGTATTACAAGTACAAAGTTGTAAAGATAAAAACACAACTGTCTTTTAGAGTAAAATGTAGAAACCTTTCTGGACTTTGCTGACAGTAGGAACCGAGGTACAGGGATAGGTCAGTCAGCCCATCATGTTTGCTCCACTATTCAACTAAATCACGGCTGATCATCTACCTGTCACTTTCCTTCGCTATCTTCATTTCCCTTGATGTACTTAGCATCTACAAATTTATCAATTTCTATCTTCAATATACTCAACAATCAAGTCTCTATAGCCCTCTGGGGCAGAGGATTCCTAAGATGTCTGCCTGAGGAAGAAGATCCCGCTCATCTCAGTCTCAAATGGCCTGATTCTACCGAGTCTGTGTCCCCTGGTCACAGACGCCCCAACCCCGCAGCCACGTGATCTTTTGGTTCGTGGAGTTACAAGCATAGTTGTTATCCTTACAAGTGGCAAGTGCTAACCTTTGTCCACTTCAAAATGTTCCACTAGCACAATCTTACCAAGCAATTAAGAGAATTTGACTTTCCATGTATCTATTATCAATGTATAAACTCACATTGCTGTTCTTCACAATTGCCTTCCCACCCAAGACATTTTTCTGTCTTTTGTCAAAGCCCGTGAGCAGCAATATCCATCTAGCTTAACTGCTAAGCACCTTGCCCTAAACGCACTTTTGTGCGACAGTTCATGACACATATCAAGCCTTTGAAGGGCAAAATTAGGACTGGTTCAGCAGAATCGAATCCATATCTGACTGAAAGCCCAAAAAAAGTGCCCCAGCACTGCTGAATCAACCTAAAATTGAAGGCTTAAAGGAATATATTATAGTTATTAAACACATTAATGATTAACTGCAACAATTTTAAGTTTAAATAGATACTTTTTAAACGACTCATGTCCCCAATACACAACTGCACACATACAGTCCTCCAGGTGTGGTCTAAGCTAGACATTTTTTTACTTCTATTTTCAAATACTGTCGTAATAAAAGGCCAACACATTATTGTCTTAATTGCTTGTTGAACCTGCATATTAACTTTCTTCAACAAGGACACCCAAGTTTTTATGAAATTCAACACTTTCCAGTTTCTTACCATTTAAGAAGTTTCCTACCAAAGTCCACAATGCCCATTTCTCCACACCGAAATTCCATCACCAAAGCTTGCCCATTCACTTAACCTCTCCAAATCCTCTAGAAGTGTGTTTGCACTTCCCTCACAATTCAGTTACACTTCCACCTAGTTTTATGTCATTTGCTAATTTAAGAGAGGTTAAATTGAATCCCATTTACGTTGATCCTTATGGTACCTCACTAATCACAGCCTGCCAACCTAAAAATACACATATTTGTTCCTACTCTCTACTTTCTGCCCATCATTGAGTTCTCAATTCTTTCAACTTCTCACAAAGTGTATTACTTAAAGAAATAAAGATTTTTCTTATTCTTTCATAGATTGTGGGTGTCACTGATTTATTGCCCATCTCCAAGTGCCTCTCAACTGAGTGGATTGCTTAGCTATTTCAGAGGGGCGTTAAGAAATCTCTGGGTCTGGGGTGACACGTAGGCCCGACTAGGGAGGATGGCATATTTCCTTCCCTAATGAACATTACTGTAACAGGCACATTTATTGGTGATTTTATAATTATCACCAAGACTAATCTTTAAATCCCAGATTTTATTAAATTCAATGCAAATTCCATCAAATGCCAGGATTTCATAGAATCATAGAACCCCTACAGTATGGGAACAGACCACTCAGTCCATCGAGTCCACACCAATCTTCAGAAGAAGATCCCACCCAGACGCTTTTTCCTACCCTATCCCTGCAACCCTGCATTTCCCATGACTAATCCACATAGCTTGCACGTCCATGGGCATTATGGGCAGTTTAGCATGGCCAATCTACCTAACTTGCACATCTTTGGACTGTGGAAGGAAACCAGAATACCCGGAAGAAACCCATGCAGACACAGAATGGGCAAACTCCATAGACAGTCGTCTGAGGGTGGAATCAAACCCAGGACCCCGGCTCTGAGAGGTGACAGTTTAAACCACGGAGCCACTGTGCCACCGTGCCACCTAATTTGAATTAGGATTTGAAACTGTGTCAACAGAGCATTAGCCTGGGCTTCTGGATTATTGGACAAGGGACATTAACACTACTGCACTGTAAGAGCAGATGACTTTTGATCCACAGCTGATGAACTGTTAGGCAAGTATATCAGAATTCAACGTGCAAGATGAAGAACTCAGGACTACAGCTCAGAGTTGGGGTGTGTGTCAGGATAAAGAGGGCAAGGGATAGACTTTGAGGGCAGTGCAAGTTGGGATTCTTCCTAAACTGCTGATAATGAGTTCGTTAGACCATTTCAGAGGGTGGGTAAGATTCAGCTATGTTCCAATGGGACTGGAGTCATAAATCACCCAGAGTTGGTAAGGAAAACAGATTTTTATCTATATATAGCTCCTTTTAGTGGCACACAGAACAGAATGACATCAACACCATTCTGGGTTGTGACACTAACCCACAAGAATTACAGAGTAAATGAACTATGCAAGTGCTGTAATTTAGGCTACGAACCCTCAACTGACAATAAAAGATCTAAAAGCCTCAAATGCGTATGATGTGTCACTACTTCTAGCTCTTTCATTACTCTCCTTGAAGTGTTAATTATGCCACATCAATGAAATATTTATGGTGTTGTAATGTAAATTCCTCTGGAAACCTTTCAACTCCCTGTGTAGCATACTTTGTACCCTCTCCATTAACTGCTACTATTGTGTCTCACAATTAACAGCACTGCAGTCTGAGCTGATGCTCCTCTGTACTGTGCCAAGGTACACACACTCCTTAGCTCAGTGAGAAACTCTGCAATGCAGATCTACAGTGGCTACTTAGAAACAGAGAATCAGCTCAGAGTGGCTGGCTGCTGGCAGTCCTCCTTTTGGGAGCAAAGTTGTATACAGCCACCTAGATTAGAAAACCATGACATGGATGAGTCACAGATCCAAAAAAAATATGATGTCCCTCACACAGACTGCTCCACCATTCTACCTTCTGATCAAGACCCAAAAAACGTGCAAATGACCTCAGACCCAAATTTCTAGAAAACCTGCTGGTCCTCGTAGTAAAATTTCTGCTTCAGGGAAAAGATCAGAATGCTCATTTAAAAAAAAAATCAGGATTATGTTAATTGCATTCAACTTTAATCTTTCTCAGCTGCCATGTCCACAGCAGCACAGTGGTTAGCACTACTACCTCACAGTGCCAGGGAGCCAGGTCTGATTCAAGCCTTGGGTGACTGTCTATGTGGAGCTTGCACATTATCCCTGTGCCTGCGTTGGTTTCTACCAGGTGCCCCGGTTTCCTCCAACAGTCCAAAGATGTGCAGGTTAAGCAGATTGGCCATACTAACTTGTCAGTAGTGTCCAGGAACGTGTAGGCTAGGTGGATTAGCCATGATATATGTGAGAATACTGGGATAGGGTGGGGACTAGGGTTGTGTAGGATGCTCTTTGGAGGGTCAGTGCAGATCAATGGGCTGAATAGCTTCTTTCAACAGTATGGGATTATATGATTCTACCTACTATTTAATTTTAAGAACTGAAGTTGCCAACACTGACAGGGGTAGAGTGTCACAGAAGCCCAAATCATATCAGGTCAAAGAATGAGGGCCCACAGGAGAACTTAATTCTGTGTTTACCTAACATGCCGATTCAGTGGTCTTTGATGTTAAGTTAATCTTTCCCAGATAAGGATTGCACAAACAAATTGACTGATTGGGAAGCACTTTGCAGCATTCTGCAACCTAAAGAAATTTGTCACAAGCAGAAACCCTCAGCCAATTTATAACCTCTGTCACCTTATCTGACAGTAAACTACTCACCCAGAGACTAGCACACACGAGGACTCAAACTCAGGACCTTCCTTAATTCATACATTTCAGGAATACACTCAAGTTACAACCAAAGACCTCATGGATTGGTTTTCCCATTAACACTAAAGTGTGTCTATCTTTGGCCAAGCTGGCATTTATTGTCCATTGTTAGGTGCCCTTCAGAAGTTAGCAGACTTGTTCAAAATGGTTAATAGGGAACTGAATCATGTATGGACCAGATCTGGTAAGGACAATAGGTTTCTTCCTTGAAATCGCATGAAACAACCATGTTTTGATGACAATGACAACTTTCATGGTCATAGCTACTGAGACTAACATTTTCTTAAAAGAATTCAAATTCTCAAGGCAATATGTGGCTACCACAGCAATTGGTGGAATTGAAATGCAATCAAATCTGGGGGAAAAAAAAAGTTTTCCAATCATTATTACTGAATCCATCACTGATTGTTATATTACCCAAATGGTTCACTGACGTTCTTTAGGGAACAAAAGCTATGATTAACCAGTCTCCCGTACATGAGACTCCAGATCCATAAGAGTGTCACTGACTCTTAACCACCCTTTGAAATGGTCAAACAAACAAACCACTCAATTCAGGGACAATTGGGGAAGTCAAATTATTGCCATACCAGTAATGTCCACATCTCACAAAAGAAAAATTCTGATACTGTCACATTGAGATTTTAGCTCAAGCAGTTATTGATCCAGTTATAGAAGTTCAGGGGTACCGCAGTTAAAATGGCAACAAAAACAAACAATTTAAACAGGTATTTATTGAGCTTACCTCAAACTCCGGCTGTACATCAAATGGAGAGTAAGCCACTACGAAAGATAGTCTTCCAGTTCCAAATTCAGGATCAGGATCAGGATCAGACAGAACAACTTCTGATCGCTTCCAAATTGTGCCACGGCCTAATGAGAGAATCTCTGAAAGGAGGAGAAGTACCTGTACAGATTTTACAAAGACAGTTAGCGGTAAGGCAGGTCTGAATGCGTGACACAGGAACTTCTTCCTTCTACTTCACTACTTCACCCCCTCAGTGACGGGGAATGGGAAAGTACATCGAACCACCCCCACCCCCTCCCCTCAGTGTGAGGGGTGTAGGGAGAACAGAGCCCATGGATCGAGACGGGAAGAGACAGATGCTATTGCTCAGTCTAAGATAAGGAGGACTGAGCACATTGACAAACCCCTTAACCCGGATCGGCATGTCGGGGGCGGGGGCAACACTCAGCCTACAGAAACCGACATCAGACCCCAGACCCAACCGTGCCCCTACCCCCAGGCTTCACCCCGGGCCCCACAGCCCGAGGTGACTAACCTGCGGGACGGTGGAGTAGTGCAGTGCTGGGACAAACAAAACTGACGGTGAGCAGGGGATATCCGGCAGCAGAAGGAGCCGGAATTGGAGGAGGAGGAGGAGGAGGAGGAGCGGCCCAGGCTCGGAAAGGGAGGGAACGGTGGACGCCGCGCAGTTCCTCACTCGGGAAGGAGGGCGAAGAAACAGCAGCCTCTCCCCAAAACCCTCGTCACTCACCCGCTCGAGCTGCGGAAAAGCTGGCCGTCACTGCGCATGCTCGGCCCGAGACCGGGACACGGCGTGGTGACGTCACCAGGACGGAATCGGTGTGCAATGATTTAAAGATACAGGCCCCCTTTCCCACTGAGGGATTTAAAGATACAGGCCCCCTTTCTCACTGAGGGGTTTAAAGATACAGGCCCCCTTTCTCGCTGAGGGAGTTAAAGATACAGGCCCCCATGCTCCCTGAAGGAATAAAGAATACAGGCCCCCATGCTCGCTGAAGGAATAAA